TGAAAATGTGCTCGGGTGATGCAATTGTACATGAACGTGTAAAAATAAAGGAATCTGAAACCTCTATTTCCCGATGTGATTTTCAACAAAAACGTTAGCATGATAGTACCGCACGATTTATATCCGGACAAATTTCATATCATATATATATATATATATATATATATATATATATATATATATATATATATATATATATATATATATATATATAAATGGTTGATGGCATCCGGTTCCGGATTTGCCTGTCACTGTGTCCTCCATACGACAGCCACAGGACATCTGCGCCTGCAGTGGGACAATGGGTGGCTTGCGTTGCACCACTCACAGCTCTATCCACCACCCATACCCACTGTAAACCCGAAGGAATATGTCCGGGAGTCATGTGAAGGGGTGCCACGTTTCGTCAACGGAGCAGACTCACATTCCTTCACAGGCATATACAAGCACGCTGTATTTGGGGAATCAAGCGCGCACATGGCGGTGGCTGGACCGGAGTCAACTCCACACACAAACCATGTGCATAGAACTACTCTACGAGCATTAAATGGTCACGAAGACCGTGCACCCTGTCTCCTCTAGCAACGACCCACTGTCTCCTGGAGCCAGTATGGAAAAGATGTTGAGTGATAGACAGGTAGACACCTTGCCATCATGCACCTCAAACGCAACCACACCGGAGATGTCAAGCAACAGCCTATCACTTGAAATGATAATAACAAACAATATATTTCAAATAAAGCATACGGATATTTCGACATTACTCTTCTCTAAATTTTCATACATAATTAATTGGCAATTAACCAATCCGCAATAAGCTCAAGATGTCATAACATGCATTTTTTTAATGCCACAGACGCGAAAGTGTTAAAGAAGCCGACCAAACTCAGCTTAAGCGACGTGTGACAGTTAAGAGATCATACACGTAGACGTTAAAATGTGGTAAAAAAAGGGATTAAGACAAGATAACCAACCCACCAACTGAAATGCAGAAATTCAGCACTCAAACACGCCGTTAGTAAATCGAATGCAGCGTACTTACTAACGTTGTGGGTGTTCTGCTTACGTTCTCTGCAGGACCCGCTGCCTTTTCGATGTTGGGCCCGAGTGGCCTCGCTCGTCGTCCTCTAGGCCTGCCTGACTCATGCAATCGCGACCGTATGTGCTACAACACCATACGCTCGATGTCTTTGGAGTATACTCCAGCGGCACTTGTCCTTTCCGCACTTGCCGCTTCTTCTCTGCATGCACAAGGGCTTTCTCTTGCACCTCGGCAATTGCCTTCGTGATCGGGTCACGCCATGTACGCCGATCAACCGCCATCTATTCCCAACACCTGTAATCAATATTAGAACGTGATAAGCTCATTTTGATCATGTCTTGATAACGAAGCTTCGGTTTCCACACACTCAGCTGACCATATAGTAGCTGCTTCGGTATCCGCATCGAATCCATACGCCAGACGTTACCGGGCCACCTCAAGTGTCTCATCAAAAGTACGCAGTCCAGTGCATACATCCCACTTCGGCACAACACTTCCGTGTCTGCAACTCTGTCGCACCACCCGATGTGCAGAATCCGTCGCAGACACTATTAATAAAACCGCTCGGGATATCGCACATCTCGCCGGTACATCGTCCACGTTTCGCTGTCGTATGGAAGAACGAACAGCACCATGGATTTGTAGACAATGAGCTTCCTGCCGACGGTAAGCTGGTGGCTATTCCACACTCGGTACTCAAGCTTCCCGAATGCTGCCGCTGGCTTCGGTACTCAGATACGCAGCTCGCTGTGTATCTTCAGCTCAGTCGACGTGACACTGCCAAGTTAGCAGAAACGGGAGATGATTTCCAATACTTCATCCGAAACTTCATATGGGTGACAGTTTGAGGTTCGGTACGTCAGTGAAGTATCTAGGAGTTACATTGAGCCACGATTTATCGTGTTCACTTCAAGTGAATAAAATACTCACCAAAGTCAGGTGACTTTCGTTTTACATCGCTCGATTTCGATCATCCTGCGTACCATACAATTTGTTTCTGATGTTCATCAGTGCGTGCATTCTATCACACTGGACTTATTGCTCACCTGTGATTTTCCCAGGCCTATTGTGTAAGTATTTCGTTCTGCATGACAGATAGCTGAAGCAGTTGTCTCGCTACAGTGGTATTCCAAAGCCAACTTCTTCATAAACAATTGTGTCTACACACGTTAATTCATGCACTAAACTGGTTTCAAGTATACTTATTGATTTTAGCCACCCTCTTCATACTGCACTTTCCAGGTGTTGTCGATTAGGCAAAACTACAGATCAGTATGTGTCCCCACGAAAGCTTCTGGTTCATCGGTCATTCCCTATTTAGCCAGATTTTTATTTGACCGGTGAATTCTGCCAGTAAGGTTATATTTCTCATTGAATTTCTTTTGCTGTTGTTCTGTTGCTTTTGCACTGCTTTTCTGTTATGTCCAGTAGCATGTGTCAGGGCTGACAATTCACCCGTCACGGGGGCATAAAAGAGCGTACATGACTTGACTTGAGCACTTTCATTGACCCGCGGAGTCAATGCATGTTATTCCTCTATGACGCCCATTTTTCCATATCGAGTCACGCTCGGAAATAAAACCAAGGTATTTCGGTTGAGGCATAAACAAATAACATTTCTCAGCTCTTAAACCATATTTCCGTAGGCGTTCCATTACCACCTGCAAGAGTTGGCAGCTGCGGTGTGTTCTGTCTGTTGATGTGACGATAATATCATCCAAATATGCACAAGCCGAGTAGCCCATCGTAAATCAAGAAGACTGGGCCGCGATCACACAGACGTTTAGTAAGATTACGCGTGGATATTTATAGAGTATGTACCTTATTTGCAATAATCCGCTCCACTGACTCACCCTTGTTATTTGCATTATTTCGTTGGCTCCATTTCCATTGGTTTATTCTTGTTCACAACCTTCATCCGAAATTACGTCAAGGCGCGTTGGTGACTTTCTGGGTAGATTGTGCGGTTGACTCGATTGGTCACATGCTCCTTCCCTTGGCCCGGTGCCACAGCAAACCTTGACTCAGGTGCGTACAGTCTACTCGTGGCCTGGCATACCAATTTGCTTCTCACGGGTACACGCTCTCTCGCAAGACTGAATTGGTCCTATGCTTTTGGTACCTGCTGGCACCTGATCGGTTACATGCACACTCAGTGGATGTTTTTCAGTTGGCTGGCTGTCCTCACAGAGCTCGACTTGGTTAACCAGTTCGCTTCCGATGACATGCTCACTTCCCTTCGGGTACATTTGCATCTGTTCGGTACTCCGCGAAATGCAACGTTTCGTTCCAGTGACCATTTGCCTACAGATATCTTAGCGTTTTCATTCACCATCGGTTTCAGCCACCATCCATTAGTTGTTGCAAGAGTCCCGGGGCATCCTTCCCTCAGAACGGTAGCCGATTGTACTGATACAGACCACGGTGAGTGTGCATCATCATCGGCTACTACTTGAAGATAGGCATCCGAGAGATCATTCTTTGAGAACATTCGACTGCCATTGCGTCTAGCGAAAAAATCCTCCGGTAGTGGCGGCGAGTATTGATGAAGACTCAGGGCTGCGTTCAGGCCGGTTGAATTATCCCCATATTGGCGAATGGTTTGTTTGCCTTTTTCACTATCACTATGTGTGATGCCCATTCTGAGTAGCCCACTTTAGAAATTACCCCTGATTGTTCCAAGCGATCTAATTCATTGTCAACTAATTTAACAGACGCATACGGCACTAGTCTTTTGGATCGATAAATAGGCTATACGTCATCTCTTAGCTACAGAGATGCCGGGAACTTGGTGCAACAGCCAAGCGTGGGGTTGAATACTTCTAGCAATTGTTTCCCCATATCATCGGAGAATTCAGCGCTGCGTTACGCTGTGATGACATGTCCGGACCGGGTCGACTTTCCTCGGTTTGCTCGCACACACAGTCAAAACGAACACCCCGCAAATTCAACGTGGTGATCCAATCAATACCAAGTATGTTCAATCCTGGGTTGTCAGCAACGTGACCGACGCCTGTTCGCTTATCGTTTCTGTAAACACATTCACAGGAAAATTTGCCGTATGGCTGTAGGATACCGTTCGATGCACTCCTTGCGGTATTTACCGCATTGCACAATATCAGTCTACCGATAGCCTGCCATGTCGGACTGGAGATGAGGGTAATGTCAGATGCGGTATCCAGTTGTAGGTGCACTGAGTGACAGAGATAAACTTACAAATTGAAAGAAATCCCTCCTATGCGGTTGCGTAAACCACATTAGACTCCCGTTTGATTTCGCGTTGTTGAGAAGGTTTTGTTTGACCACCACGATGAGGACGTCTTGTGGTTGATCGGTACTGTGTTTCTCTATCGTCTTTCTTATAGCAGGCGGTGCACTGACGGTTTATGACCGGTTAGTTTCTGGAAAAATGCCACACCACAATTCCAACGAACACGTGGTGGTTACTGTCGTGCAGTGTTGTAGACATCTGTCGGTGTTCGGGTAGAAATCGTATCAACCATCGCGATCTCTGACATCAGTTGTCTCGACCGTAACATTTTAAAGTCATTTTTCAAGTTGACCAGACACCGCCACTCTGCGGTAACGTCCTGAATGGTGAACTCTGGAGATGAGTCCAGTTTGGATAGCAGATTTGTTCTGATTTCTGCGTCAGCTGCATAGGTTAAGCCGGATGCAAAATGAGTGATTGATCGTCTGTAAGTTGTTTAAGCCTGAGAAGTTCGCATGTATGCTTCATTCTGTCCGCCTATGAAACGTAGTCTTCGGAGTTATTCTTAACCAGCTCCAAGTACTGATAACGGATGTTGAAAATTGAAGACCTTTCACCTAAAAGAGAAGTGCGAATATCTGCAGTCTCCTGGAAATTGCAAACGCAGGAATGTTGCGGTAGAATGAAATTACAGTACTAGTTGTGTTCATTTGCACCCAACCTCCGTAGCAACAACCGTGCATGGACCGCGTCATCATGCGGGATCGCATCACCCAGAAAGATGTTTCATACCACCTGTACCAGGTTGCGAATGGGATGCCGTTCTCTCCGTCATATTGGAAATCTTACATCCCGTTTGCCAACGCTCCAGCTGAAGTGGACTCGGTTTTCACTGTGGTGGGTTTTAGATTTAGGGATGACAGTTTCTCAGTGAGTGCTTGGAATACCAATATCTGCCTTTGTGCTTATTGATGCATAGCCGGCTTTTACTGCTGAATGTAATCTTGCTGCTGTTGTAGTAATTGGCTTAACTGCGAATGATCAGCAAGCGTCGTCGTCCGTGTTATATACTCGCGGTTAATGAGCCGTAGAGTCGTTAGAACAAAGACTTTCACCGCACCAAATAGTGTATTGACCGAATGTTAATTCACATGAAAGAGTTAAGAAAGCTGACAGTATGGGGTAAAGTGTATCAGACAGGTCGCCTCGCATAGTCGTCGACCTCATGTATATGAACAGTGGGTTAGTGATGTTCACGCTCCGGGGTATGGGACGGCGTTGTACTTTTAAGGCACCGGATCGCCTGGCGTAGTACCATGCTTGTCAGCAACACCTATTCTCTTGTCTTATGCTACTTTGTTGTTTTTTATCCAGGTCCGTACTACAAATACCGCACGTTCAGCGACTTTGCAACCACACCCATCGTGTCACGTGAAGCTTCCGCGGAACACTTGGTGCAAAGGTTACAGGAAGCACCGTTATTTGGAGTTGCATACCTCATACTATCGCATTTCTACACCGTTGATGTGAGTTTAGGTTTCCTTTCAGAACTACGTAGTCATACGCATTTCTCTTGACTACCCGTAGTGTAACTTCGTCCCATTTTATGCTCGTCCCGAACACAGTTCCCAAAGCTTAAACTTGAGCAAATATTGTTTATCCCATTCGAAGGTAAGCTAATCATGTGTCGTTTGTGCTTCCGAATCTGGCGATCGACCAGGGGGCTCCGACAAAATTCTGTCTAGCGATTCATACCAATGATTTGCCACCGTCCCCCAAGGCTCAGGTGACGCAAGCTGCTGGCGGTCATAGATTCTGTTCCTGAAGGAGTCCAGACTCCTCACACCACTAACGACCCAAACCAGAGCGAAATGGCCGTCTAGTGCTTTTCCGGATTGGTGGTCAGATTATCTGGGTTGTGAGTTGCTGAAACGAAGCAGTAAAAGTTCATCGAAAATCTCCCTGCTCATTAGAAATCCCTAAACTGTTAATCACCTGAGGCCAATAACTGGACACCAGGTTTTTTAGACTGTTCAGTCTGCCGTCGCAGCCTCACCTGTGTGTCACCCGTAACTCCGGTATATTAGCGACCGAAACTCAGTTTTACAGCTCTGTTATATCGTGATCGTCAACTCTGCGATGCTGCATGGACCTGTTCGCTGTTCATCGTTTCAAGTCATCACTCGCATTCCTCTCTCTTCAACTTCAATTCGATCACACATTACAGTATGTCCGATTGGAGGAATTCAACGAGCGCAACTTCTCCTATCGGTTCGCTTACATGATAATAATCTTCTTCGTGTTCCGATTACGTGTGTATTTCGCTTGGAAAATGGCCGAATGTGTGTGTATTGCGTCTGGCCTGGGCGCGTATCCACCCGAGTCCGCACCTGTGGTCGGAGAGGGCCCAACGGATTTGAAGGCATTCGACAAGTGAGTTTTGCTCCATTGCGTCCTACTCATATGTGCTTTATCCGAACTTCTAATCGGTTCTCCCAAATTTACTACATTGTACTCACTGAATGACAGTGCTTTTGGTAGGGTACTTGACGTTGCTGCACCATTCGATCCTTCTGCAACACTTGTTCTGGCGAGCGAGCTCATCACAAAACTCTAGAGTCTGCAGTCCACACTTGAATCGCCAGAATATGTGAAATGCCTTTACGCTTCTGCGTTGCTCATTTCTCTCTTCTTTTCGTCTCGGTTGTCGCAGCCTTCATTCTTCTTCGTCTTCTCACACACATTTCCCTCGTCTAGATGGATGACAAAAAACATTTCCACACCATGTCCTGCATCTAAAACTGCTGAGTCAAACACACGCCTTGTGAACTCCTTACACACGATCAATAGTAACGGAGGTGTGGGCTTGGCCTCTCCGATTGTTGTTCACGAGACTATAGATTACACCACGATCACTAACATCAGCGTTTGGGGTTGTGAGTTCACTACCACTGTGCGGGAGGGAATGCGATCTTGGAATCAAACGGTGCAGTACTGGCTCGCCTTCAACTTTTTCAAACGATGCTATGGGAGCCGAGCTATGCGGTGAGTTTATTTGTACCTCCTCGTTGGCACTTTTTCCTCTTTTAATTCTGAAAGCCTTTTTGTCGCAGCATACTTGTCCCGACATCATTCATGGTTGTGTGAGTCTTTGTTTAGGCGTGTTTATTTTCCCTCCCCTCAGAAACTGACTGAATCGCAGCAACGTGCTGCCCATGGCACCGAACACGATAGCAGGGCCTATGTGGACATCCAAGGGTAAAATGAACCGAGTCTTCTGGTTGGCACTTTGTCTTACAGGCCATATAGTTTCTGGGTCGTGAGGTAACTACTCGGGCATTCCTCTCCGATTGTTTGACAACTTGATTCCCACGTTTCAATTTTTCTTTACTTGTGAATTCGCCCCTTTCATCGAACGAGTTTACCGGACTTTCACAATTGCCGTCTGCATGCCATACCTCATTCGAGGTCAAACTCGGATATCTAGTTTCGGATTTAGGTTGCACCTCCCTACCTGCTATCTGCACCCAGGATAGAGTACATTCATTCAGGTCACCGTGCGCAACACTTACCAGATGGTCAGACGTGGGTAGCGAATCCTTTTCACGCTACAGGACAAGCGATGCAATTCTCCTTGTCCTTACATCACTGGTGGTATTAGGCTTTTATCTACATATTACCCATGCCATAAGGCACAGTAACCCACATGCACAAATCGCGTTTCTAGGTGGTTTAACGACATACGAACATTTTTTATTTCATCTGTCTGAATTGCCTTTCAATACCACGGGATGCAAAATTCACCCAGTGAACTCTTTGACCAAGCTTACTGCTTGTCACAGTATTCTGGGGATGTTTGGCACAACAAAACTCAAGCAAATAGCCAAAATACATCCGGGCATTGCTGAGCAACTGTTATGTCGCCTCGGAGCTCAGTCACAGCGCGCCTTACTTCCGTATCTAACAGGATTCAATCCATCGATTTTCCTTCAACGGAGTTGTACTGGGGAACCGTTGCGATTGATTGCAAACTTTGAGGTACCAGCTGTTTCCAGCATACCATGCTAATGACGGAACTGGCTTGCTCTACAGCCACTACCGCCGTTGCTAAGCCGCCGATCATCCCATGGCCTTATAAACTAACTCGATTGATTGCCGCACGGTTTGACGTTTTTGCGAACACTTATCCTAAACAGGCTGCCTATTCTTTTGCATCGATAGCGTAACATCATCGTTTGCTTAAGCGTGCATTCCACCAAGCACTGCGACGCGCGGATCACTTGCTGCCGATTGCACTTCGATATTTTTAACAGTTTTTCATCGACGCAGATAACTTCACCACTTCATAGTTGATCAAGAGAAAGAATGCAGCCGTCAGAAACACATTGTGCTGACACCTCATTGCCGCACGACATCCACCGGTTACACCTGCACCCACGCAGAATCGAGCCGACGACCTGTGGATTACAAGCCAAACGCCTTATCCAATCGGTCACCGACCGATCCGGTGCTTTCTGAGTTTCGCTTAGCCTGAGATCAGGGGCCAATACGTCGTTCCTACTCAGTCTAATAGCAGTGACTTGGAAATGCATCGGCATGTGCATTCACGCACTCACACACACACACACACACACACCAGATATATTGCCTTGCCTTTGGCAGGTGCGTCACTTCTCATAGGCTGTTCATATTTTAACATTTTGGAAGTCCCTATTCGGTTTCCGTTCTTGGTCTTTTCCCCCTATAAGCATTGTAACGTTTTCCGGTCTCGTATAACCCTTTTGCAGATACCAAAGTGTAACGCCGCTCAACTATGCGTCCTAGGTCTGGTTGGAGAAAGTTTAGGCAGCGTGTCTGGTTTCAAAACTGCCTCCTTAGCCCCATTGATCTGTATCTATAAAATATTGCCACACGAATTTATTCGTATTTCAATAGCAAGAATCAAGATCATAAATCAATTCAGCGTTAAGAACTTTTTCGGTAAACTCTCTCCAGATCTAAACGTTTACATAGCGCTGATTGTGTATGGAGAGCGTCAAACCGGGCTGGGGACTGACTTCCAGGCTGTCTAAACGGTTTGCATCGATGACTTAAAACGACTGTAGTGAACTAAAGAAACGTTAACCTCAGTACATAACTCCCAGTAAATAAATGAATTAAATAAATGTATGTTCTCGGTGTTGCACGAAGCACGCCAACAAAGGCATGATCAAGTGTAGCCTGAAGTAAATAGCCAAGGTAAGAACCGGATAGCTATGCAACAGCGTCTGTTAGCCACGACCGAACGAGTGGTTTTTGCACACATGATTCCGGCTTCAGGTGGTGGATGTAGATAGCCTGGGCAATGGATATAAGTTGCTTGCGGAATCCTTGTGAGAAGCGTTCAGGCAGCGAGTGGATGTTTTTGAAGCCATTCTCAGAAGCTCCTGGGTTTTAGGATACGTGGGTCGCACCACGGGGCGCTTATCTCAGTGGATTCGTGATCGCATCCCGGCGTGACTTCACAAAGACGAAATGAGTTCCCCAAACAGCTCACCCATGCCGCACCTCATTGACTGTGGCCATACAGCTTCTGAGGATGACTTCAAAGTCATCTACTCGCTGCCTGAACGCTTTTCGCATAGATTCCGAAAGCAACTCTTGTCCGTTGCTGAGGCTATTTACATCCACTATCTGAAGCCAGAATCATGTGTGCAAAAATGATTCATACGGCAGATATTACTATTGTGACCAGCAGATACAGTTACTTAACTATGTGGTAGTTACCTTATCTATTTACTTCGGACTGCTGAGGTTTGTGTATTAATATCCCTTTTATTCACTTGGTCTACCGTCTATAGTCCTGTCAAGTTATCGAGTTTGACCGTTTGAACAGCTCAGAAGTCAATCCCCAGTCCGATTTTGACGCTTTACACACATAATGAGTGCTATGTACATGTTTGGGTCTGAAGAGAATTTACCGAAAATAATGCTTAACCCTTAATTTCTGGTCGTGATGCTTGTTAATTAAGTAGCAATATTTGCTTTGCTGTGGACCAGCATTGTCTGTGATTCGCTGAAGATGAATTTGTACCCCGGGTTACGTTCGAATTAATCCGCTATTACCTATTCACACCTCCGGCTCTAAATTTCACATCAGTAGTACGCGAATTATGAATGTCATTTTCCCTAATTCCTTTGTTATTAACGAGATATGCATGAGCATATAAATCGTGGACTCGCGTTCGTCTAATGTCTCGCTCCTCCTTCCTATACAACTACGCAGCTACATCTGGACAATGCTGGTGAGTGCGTACTGGCATGGTCTGTATCCAGGCTACTACCTCTCGTTCCTCACAATCCCCCTGGCGATGGTCGCTGAATCCGAGTTAGCCGTGGTGATCTGCTCATGTGGCCGAGGCCTCCCATCGGGAAGCCTATCCTTTTTCTCCTGGATACTCAAAATGCGTGTATTCGAATACTGCTGCATGGGCTTTCTCTTGTTGGATGCCGAAGGGACTTTGGCCTATTGGCACAGTATCGGGTACTGTGTGCACGTGTTGTTGGTTATGATCATTGTGCTCGGTGTCGTATTACGCCGCCTCTGCCCCGATGCAGCGGCGGCGGCGGCTGCTGCTGCTGCGTCCTCCGTGCTTCGCACTGTACCCACTGCCACTGAACGGTTGGACACGGCTTCCGAAAGCAAAGTGTATCCGTGATGCAATTCATCCAATCCCCATCCTCGCATTTGTTTGTTCTTTCTCGCCCCCCCCCCCTCCCGATGGTTTTCTAGCCTCAATGTGTCACCGTGACACAATTATCCGCTCTTCAAATCAACGGGGTTGCCTCACTCACTTCCATACGCATTTTTGACTTTCGTTCTATTGCAAACCTCATCTAATTACTTTGTGAACGGGTATTTCTCATTTTTTTCACTCCGCTTCATCTTTCACAGTCACTTCCGAACGGTTCACCCCCTGAGAATCGTACTTGCTTTCGGTTTACACTGGACAACTCCGTTAACTACTGCATTTCCTTCTAGATGAATCTCTTCCTATATCTCTTTTATTTACATACCTTTCTGATGATGATCAGCGCGCCTAAATTAGTGTTATTGTTTTTTTTCAGAGAATTTCGTTTTTATTTATGATTTACAGATTCCTATTCTACCATTTTGTACTCCTTCCAAGTTAGAGTGTGTTTGTGGAATGTAAACGCACCACGAATAAATTGTTCGCTTGAGTGGAAGCTACCTTATTGCACTCAAACAGTGCTCAGCACCGGGGTCATACGCAATCTTAAACAGCACTGTGCGAAGACAAAAGCTGGCAGATGTTAACATTTCGTATTGTCTCCTCACTGTCAATACAATAACAGGAAAATGTATATGTCTACAGCTAGGGTGTGACCGGATAAAATAGAGACAGGGTGGGGTACATATATACCACCCTTATGTCCATGGGAGTCTTAAGGTTACTAACAAATGCTTTTGCACACAGAGTGCCGGTTTGATCCTGTTGACCGCGACAGCCTCGTCGAAATGTAGCCTGTGGGTGTTAGCATGTCTCAACAAGATTGTGAACTGTATGGCATGGTCGAATGGATGACAAGTAGACAATAAGTGTCTACCTATGGATGAGAAAGGTGGTTTTCATGAACAGTTGGTAAACGAAACGGAAGACTGGATAATTTCACGCTGCACCCACTTAGGTACATGTTCCCTTACTCTGGAATTCAACATTCTCTCGGTACGGCCTATGTAGCGTGACTCGCAGCTACAAGTGAATTGGTAAATGCAATGTGAAATGCCGCCGAAAGGTTATCTTTCATTCTTTGGGGGAGCAGGCACCTTGTTGGTTCGGTTAATAAGGACAGCTTCGGCAGCGTAATATGTCCTACGAACAGCGGAAATTAATCCCTTGGTTGTCCTCATGGTGGCAAGATCACCTTTAAACGGTAGTTCTATAACGATCTTCTTTTTGGCTACAGTGGGGACCTTTTCTCTCGCCACTCTCCTCTGGCTATGTTTTGCGATAAACCGGCGAGGATAACCGTTTTTCAAGAGCGTATTAGTCAACAGCTCCTGTTCCTCTTCTAGACAGTCGGGGCTGCATATTCTTCTTGCGCGATTGGACAAGATCTTGACTAGTGTCCGCTCGTACCGCATTGGAGTGAGGCTGGTAAAATGCACGTGCTGCCCGGTCCAGTCCGAATCTTATATTCTATATCAATTTACTTGCATCTGTGGTGTGAAGTACCTCGGCTATACGACTAGGCGTCTGTCTAAACGGATATCGGAGCACTGTCCCACGGCATTGCAGAAAGGTACTGTCGGTTGCATCAAGAGTTCTATCCTAGAACATCTAGTCGAAAGTGGACATCAAATTAAGGCTACTGATGCTTTCAAAGTGTTTTACGTTGTTCCAAAACGCTACCCCCAGGGGCTTAGGAAACGAATGTTACGGACGGCCGAAGCCATTGCGATCAGAGAGCGCTTATTCAAGCGCTCCTTCTGCCCTGGAGCTAACACACTTCCAAACAGCTTCCACTTCACACGCTGACAACCACCGGGTGATGTGTGTCACCCAATCAGTTGAAAAGCACGTCCTATGTCTCGTGAGCATACGTGTGTGTGTGTATCTATGTCTGCCTACGTATACTGTGGTAGCCGCTGCTTGAGTGGATCGACCAATTTATCGATTAGGGCAGCTCACTTTCTGCCTCGCTCTGATTCGCTAATCTTTGTCGCGCTTCACCAGCCTATCCCACTTCAACTTTCCATTTTATAAACGCCTAATGAGATCGGATCGCTGCAACATGTATCTAGACGGTTAACCACCACTGTATCCTGACCACCTTTCTAGGGTGACCGTTATTTGCGTAGCTTGGAAGTCCACTATCTAAACCTTAGAGAACCAGACCTCCGTATTTTGACCACTTGGCGTCATGCTAACCTCTCTATGTTGACCAGGTGAAAGTTTACTGTTCAACGGTGGTCAAACTTTTGTTTGTTCAAATCCTGATTTGTACGTGGTGGGATTTTACAATATGCGGAATTCCCCCGACTCACAGTCACTGCACTTTACGACTCCGCAGACGTTTGACGATACAGCATGTTCTCTGTATGTGCGTGTGTATTTTGTCCCACCCCTATATTCACGCGCATCGGTGTCTACGCCGTACAGTGTTCCTTCAGACCCGCAATTACAACTTGACCTTGACTGTTTGTGTGAAATCTTTCCTCACAAGCACGCGTTACGTCTACTATCCGGAACATGTGTACACACAGGTCGCAATCAAGAGTTTGAGGGCCTGTCGATTAACCGGTTCTAAGCTAACCTGTCCAACACCTGTTCGTTAGCCTCTTGGATTGTTGCCACGTTGCTTGCTGAGCGCCTATCCCACTCCATTTGTCGTCTACTTGAGAACGTAGACAGTTAGTGTTTGATATCGTATGTACTGGAAACGAGCGCACAAGAAGCATGTGCATCCCTAGAATTGCACACACGGAATTTTACTAGGCCGACTACCTTACGTGCCAAAGTCCCCCTGATTCATTCAGTATACTCAACGGACAGAGCACTCCTTGCCTACAGCAAACATTACACTTACAATGAAATCCTGCACTCTCATTGCGTTATCGAAAATTCTTATGCGATCTTATCACCTATTTCAACATGAACGCTTCATTAAATGACACAGGGGGAAAATGGGCGTTTTCCCAAGTGGGCACTCGTTAGCAACAGACACGAAGAGCAGTCCGGAGGAACGGAATCATAAAGGCACACGCTTTTATTGCACGTATACAAAAGTGCACCGCCGTATAACGACATAGTCACAACCGGACTGGACTTAGCATGGTGCGACAATTTGCCCCATTGAGCTATACTGGGTGATGTCCCCGGGCTTCTTGAAAGCTATTCCTAACAGCTTGGTCAATGGTGAGAGGTGAGGGGAACTCAGTCACCTGGTCCTCCAAATTGGGGTTTTGAAATGGTCTGGCGTCCATTTCTATAAATCTGAATCATTGCTGCCTTGCGGACAGGCTTTTGAGCCAAAGGCTTTGGTTAAGGACCCTACTCGTCCTCCTGTCTAGGTCTGAGCTCTCTGACAGTATCTCAACCCACATACGATCATGACTATTTCTTCAAATATAAACTTCATCCTGCATCAGCCGTCGCGCAGATTATTAAGGGTCACCTTATCTGCTGCATGCAGCAGGGCGGATAAGCGAAAACATGCTACTGTTGGCGCCTCACTTCTTTCTTTTCCACCTGTTTATCTTACTCCTCTACCAACCCCCATTACTAAGTTTTTTCCGGTTCCCAGCTTACTTGATGGAGTCGAACCATTAGCAGCCACCTTCCCACAACACCCACCGGAAGGCTATCGGCAATCGTTCCTTATACGGCCACGCTATCATGTTTCCTTGGCGGTATTCAACGTTCGCACTCTAAGACAGGTCAACACGCTGCACTCGCACTCACGTTGAACACACTGGATATTACTGTGTGTTGCGTATCCGAAACTGGAATCAATAACCCTCATGGGATTGTTTAGTTAACTGCACCCAGCTTGTCTTCTCGCTATCGGTTGCACGCATCCCTAGACGGAAGCCTCTGGCCATGCTGGGGTAGGTATCATTCTCAGCTCCAAGGCTGAGGCATTGTTGGTTGATTAGATTCTGGTGAATAGCCGTTTGTGTGCACCACGCTTGACGACATCGACTCAGGCTGGTTCATGCAGTAGTACAAGACGCTGTTTGTTTGTAGTTTCCGCTTATGCTCCCCCCGACTGCAGTTCTGATGCTGCCAAGGACATTCTACTACGAACTGAACACGCTACTACACAGTGCTACTAGTCCAGGTATTATAGTACTTGTAGAGGATGTGAACGCACAAGTAGGGCGTCACCTCTTCTGAAGCTCAGCTAAATTGTAAGTATGGACTTAATTCCGAAGGGACTGACAACGGCGAGCGTCTGCTGCAACTGTGTGCGGAGCACCAGTTGTTTCTTAGTAGCGCTGCTTTTAGACACAGTGGGCGCCGAAGTGCCACTTGGCGTCCACCTGTAGCTGGCCAGCGATGGACCCAAATTGACCACATAGTTATAAGTTACAGGTGGCGCGGTTCCATTCTGGATTGCCACTAGTACTGGAGTACCTGTAACGACTGATCATGCCTTGGTGCGCTGTCGTTTCTCCATGAACTTTACGGGAAGGCGCACAAAGCGTCCCCTCCGATTGGCAACGGAGAAATTGTCCCAGCCCTCGGTCAGGCAAGCCTATCAAGAAGCACTGCATACCGAACTCTCGCTGTCTTGTCCTAATGACACTGAACTTCAGTGGAATAGGATCTCGGCTGCCATGCAGGACGCAGGAGCATCTGCTTGTGGCACTATCCATCGTCACCGCACCAGTCACTGGATATCCGAGAGGTCCGTGAACCTGTATCAAGCTAGAAGACAGCTCCCGGCTGGTTATGAACACAATGTGACCAGACGGGCTATTAGGCGTGAACTAAAGCGGAGCCTACGTGTTGACAAGGAAGCCTGGACGACCAGAAGGGCTCAAGTAATGGAGGAGGCAGGAGCAGTAGGCAATTACCGGGAAATCATGCTGGCTAAGGGAGAGCGAGAGTGGCCACGCGCGTCGCCGGTTTGCGAGGGATCTGATCGCAAGTGTGTATTTTTGGTTCAATCTAACGACCTAAACTTACAGTCAGTGCTTTTCATCGGTTGTCTAAAAGTAAAGTTGGAGAGCTATATTCGATTACAACTTCACACATGTACTCAGGCATGCCAGGGGAATCTCCAAACTGTTACAGATTTTCTGTACCAGCGTTTTCATGTGTGCGCATTCTTCCGTGTGAAGTAGCATTGATCAGACACGCAATCAAGTCATTCGATGCCTGCCAGATTTCCACTTTGCAGAACGCTGTCACCAACCTCATCAAGGCAAGGCAACGCTAGCCACGAACTCGGTCTCTTCACATCAACTGCGTTAGAGCCGCATAATCGTCTAGGCTTCGGCAAACTGCAGTAGGCGAGCTGTGCTCTTTCTGTTGAGTATTATAAATGTATCACTGGGGCTTTAGCACGTATGCCAGCCCATCAACCTGGCATAATTCCGTGTACCATTTCATCATGAAACCGTGATTAATGTCATTTATATTTAACCCTTGATCTTGAATCCACTCCATGTTTTGAACCATTGGGGATCGGCTATTACGCTTATCGCAGTGTTATAT